CCGTTGCGCGGCGTTCGAGTCACCCCCGCCAACATCTTCTGCACTGACCAGTACCTGAAGGTGGGGCGGCCGCGCACCGTCTCAGGGGGCTTCTGACGTGCGCTGGCGCCGCCTTGAGATGCGTTGGGCCTGCGGCTTGGCGACTTTGTAGCTCTGTTAAGAAGTACACGCTTAATACATCATGGCAGCGCTGTCAAGTTTATAATCTTTCAGAATATTTCATCTATAACGTCCCTTTGTATGCTGCAGGCTGTTAAATATATATCCCGCTAGAGGCAGCGGCTTTACCACTGTTGGTTCTTCCCCATACTAATGCTCTTGCTAATTAGCAGGTCCCAGCTGCCTTTTCTCTCCTAAATGGCCTGAATTATACACATCTGCTTATGTTATGAATAATAATTCTAAATTTGAGATCCGTGGCTTCTGTTGCGGTGCTGAAGAACCAACTTTTTCAATCTCTCTTATCAGGTCTAATAAAATATATTATCTCCACACTGCATACTAAGCGCATTAGTTTTGGCAATAGCATGTGTTTCTTGAGGTTTACTGTATGCTTGCACTGAGTATTTTGAAAACGTGAGATTTGATTAGATTTTGTAAATATTAGTACAAATTAATTATATTTTTGTAGGTAAGCGTCCCTCCCTTTTTATTTGAAGCCATTTTATATGCTCCTATTGATGACACAAATAGCACAGCAAAGATTGGAAATGGAATCATTTTCTTCACTTTGCATAAAAAAGAAGTGGCCATGTGGGATTCCCTCACTCTAGCAAATGGTAAGTTCTTTACTGTGAAAAATAAGTGGCATGTAAGAAACCCAAACTGTGCCAAAACTTTACAAACTATAATAAGCAATGTGAAACTTCTGCTGCTAGCTATCTGCTAAGTTAAACCTTGTTGTTCATTGTAAAAATAGCAAGTATATGGAAACACAAAGAACATCTACTTGCTCTAGTGTGCACAAAATAAAACAATGTTTCTTGTAAAACTTACATTCTGTGTGTAATCGAATCTTAGGTTTTCTTTTTTAGAGATGGGCTTGATAGAGACTACTTTGTGGAATTTGAACCATGTTGCATTTTCCCAGACAAAGTAGCAAAAGGAATCCTGTTTTTATGAATATAGTATGTAACAGTAGAACTTCGGGCTTAAATTACTAAAATAGTTTTTATTTGTTTTTTTAAGCTGACAAGGAGAAACTGCAATATCTAAGAGAGAATGCTGTTCTAAAAGCCCATGAGAAGGCAAAAGAGGAGACAGAAGCAAAAAAAGTTACAAAACAGGAACACAAAAAATATGCTTTGGAGGCCACAATGAAGGTAAGCTTAGAAGGAACTTTACACGACATATACATGTAAACAATTACCAACTAATCTGGCAGTTGCTTGGTTAAATGTACCTTAAAAAAAAAATCATTTTCATTACAGTGCTGGTGAACCTTGTTACTTCTTTGTACTTAAAACATATCTATTCCCAACTATGAAAATGGTACAGAAAAATTACTTAGCAGTTGCCATTTTCCATTAGTAATGCTAATGAAAATTTTTGGCGAGGAGCTCAGATTTTTGTCAATTGAAAGAAGACTATGTGGCAAAACTGTAATCTTTTGAGGCCTTTGCACCACTGTAAGCGTTTAGTCATTTGGCACTGTTAAAAATGCTGATTAAAAAAAAAATAGTTAAAAGATACAACCCTTAAAAGCTAATCAGAAATCTTTTTAAGCATCTTTCATACCTCTTCTTGTATGATCATATTGATGATGATGCTAGGCTTGGGATGCGACACTGGTAAAGTTATGGTAGCTTTTCTTAGTCATCTTACTATCATCAGATGTTACATATCTCATAGGTTTCTCATTCAAACAGCTAGAAGAGGCAGAAAGAAAAAGAATTGAAAATCTGAAAGAAAAGGAGCGGCAGAAAGTCACTAAGGAGTTGGAGTTATGGAAGAAACAGCAAAAAGATGCTGAGAAACAAAAGAGGGTACAAAAAGAAGGGGAACTATATCAAGAAGTAGAACAATCAAAGGAGAAGAAAAAGGAAAAAATGAACAAAACTAGGATTCCTAATGAAGGAACTTCTAAGATGGGACTCAAACCTACTAAAGGTTGTATTATTGGAGTATATTTTATCATTCTTTAAAGTTTGGGTGTAACTTTATTCCTAGATGTTTGTAATTCATCATTTATCTTTGTCTCCACAATACTGAACTAATTATTTTAGTTTGCAGTTGTTTTAGTGTCTTTATCTTCAGCCAATTTATTAAGCTAAAGCACGTGAGTTCTTAGCTCTCATTTAGATCTTTGGAAATACAAGGGCGAGTTTTGTTCTAAGCGTTAGAAAAGTAAAACCAGAAAGCCTTTCTGACAGTGTAACGAAGACTTCCTGAGGGTGGAGTTCCTGTTACGCAAAGTTACCTAACTGCTGGTTTTCACAGAAATATGCAATCTCCTTTTGCTCTATCCCATGTCTTGGCCCCACAGAGAGCCAATTCAGGGAACTAAAACAACAGAAAATACTTCATTTTTGTTATGTTTGTTTGTTTTAGTAAGGTTAGTTTTAGCTCTAGCATTGCCCTGTCAGAGAATCATACAAGTGACAGAGACAATGATGTAAGACAAATCTAAGTTCATTTGTGACAGGTAATGTACCCAGTAAATAGATGGCATGATACAGCAAGAACAGAGATTTTTATTTTTTTTTTAAATCTTCCTTTCAAAAGAGCAAGTCTAAATCTTTCTCCAACTATTAGAGGTTTAGTTCTAATGTGCAGAATTTCTACATTAGGTGTACTTTGGACTTTGGTAGAAAACCAGAAAAATCCCTTTTGCTTCATTTTTCGTTTCTAGTACTCCAATTCTCCTCATAGGTCATGGTTCCTACAGTATGTTTTCAGAAAATTTAAAGGAAGAACAGTTACCAGCTCCTCGATCTGCTGCTACAATTAAAATCAACTTTACATCACGAGCGTTTCCTACAGCTCTGCGAGAATCTCGCATCGCAGAAGAGGAGGAGGTAAGGATTGCTCTCTGTTTTGGTATGATGCTTCTACTGTCTTCCAGAGTGGTGAATTATTTACTGTGTATTCAGTAAGTTGACAAAAATGTTATCTGTGCCAAGGACTGTTACCTGTGCAATAGTCTTATCTTCCAAGGAAGGCGGTCTTATTTAAATTAAGATTTAAAGAAACACTTTTATATAAAAATTATTTTCACTAAGCGTGTGATTGTGCAAATTAGTAAATACCATGTTCCTTTTTTGGGGGGTGTGTGTGAAAGAGCAATATTAATTGAATTCCTTGAAATATAAAATTTGAAATATCTTTACTCATATTTAACATTGTTTAAGTTCTGTCTTTTTAAAAAGAAGCTCATAGTTAGCTCTTTTGAGCTCTATTGAATGAACACAAAGAGTAATTTTGGAAAACAAGCAAACAAAAATGTATTAGTGATGCACTAACCTTATTTCTCACTTAGTAATAAAATATTTGGGGAAACCTGGAAGTTTTTAGTATCTGACATTATTAAATATTTCTCTCTGTCCAAAATATGTGGCAAAGTGATTCACTTACTTCTATCAAAAGGATTCTATGGAAACAAAATTCTTTTTTGGATTTGAATTTTCCTTCAGAAATGACACTTGCCCGTTGTATATTTACAGTGGCTACGTAAACAAGCAGAAGCTCGAAGAACAATAAGTGCTGATTTGTCTGAGCTGGAGGATTTAAAAGAAGAGGAGAAGAATCCAGATTGGTTAAAAGACAAAGGAAAGTAAGTTAAATTTCATTTGAAGATGCATTTAAAACGAAATATTAGTTATATAGTGTGTGTCTATTGTTTAGTTTTGATATTTTCTATTTATCCTAGACATAGATGGTGAATATCTATATAGTAGAGAATTTATTGACAGCGTACAAGGTGTGAATCTTGTAAAGTCATGAGATGCAATTCCTGAAGCTCATGATGAACAAATCTCTGTGAACACATAATGCATGTTCTTTTATGAGGGCAGTTAAGTCAGTGCAGTATTATACCTAGGTGGATTTCCTTTCATTTGTGCTTTTTATTGAGAGGTTAAACACCTGTCTGAAACAAACTTTAGGAATTTGATGATAAAAATATTGGTATGTTTATATGGCTGTGTTACACAGAAAGGTTTGATTAGGCAATCCTAACCAGATACATAGCTTTCAGAACTGGTCCTGTGTCTACATAGATGTCTCCACCTCTTACTGTTCTTCATTGCTTTTTAAGCAATGACTATTTTTGTTGTGTGTCTATATGCTATATTGTCAGGATCAAGTTTAACAGAACTTCAGCTATGTTGTTCTCAGGAAAGGCTATAAATGTCCATTTCCAAGGAAAAGCTGATAAAACTTCAAATTTTTGCAAATGAATTGTTAACAGTAAGTAGGTATTTATTTTGTGATTTATCACCTTGTTTAAAGTACATGTTTCGCTTTTTGTTTTATACTTAGCAAAATGTTTGCAACGGGAAACTATCTTGCAGCTGTAAATGCATATAACCTCGCAGTGCGGCTCAACAATAAGCTTCCCCTACTGTATCTGAATCGTGCTGCTTGCCACCTTAAACTGAGAAATTTACATAAAGCTATTGAAGATTCCTCTAAGGTATAAATATATATGTTCTCAGACTGTTATCTTATACATGATTGTGATTTATTACTGTGATGCTTCTGTTTCAAGCAGATCTGTAAATACTTATTAGTGCGATTCACAATTTTTAAATTCAAAAGTGGTATAATGAAGCCATGGTGAAATATTAAAATTTCATAGCAATTGATCAATGAACTTTCAGAAACTTAAACCAAAACAGCACCAACAAAAACCACCAAACCCTGCTCCCACACATTTGGGGCAAATTGCCATATTGATTCAGTACGTGTTCCTTTATGGGTAAAATATTATAGCAATATATACACTTGGAAAAAAAAGACAATTTTGAGCAGAAGAAAAAAATATACACAGATACCTTTTGTATTATGTTGTGGTGGTCTTTATTTGGTGGGAATTAAAAAAAAAAAAGGTGGTGGTGATGAGAAGGATATCTTAAAGCCCAACAAACCAGACATTTTTAAAAAAAGGCTGTATCATCTCGATGTTTTAGCAGCCATTATTTGTGCAATGAGAGAGGACCTCAAATGGCACCTGAATAATTCGGAGAAAGTTGTCTCTATTAGTTGTAACTAACAAATACTTGAGGATTGAAACTTGTTTTTATTAGTAACTACTGGTACAATACGTGTCCTTTTTTTAGGATTTTTTTTTTTTAGCATGGTATATAATATCATGTATGAAAATAAAATACATTCCTTGACTGTAATAAACATTTAACAATATTTGTCAGGTTTTAGCAATGGCAATGATGCTGTATTTAGCAAACTGCGAGGTGACAGATACAAATCTTAATGACTACATTCACAAGCCATGTAGTTAAATTTGAATAGTTACTTTCTATTTCTATTTGAATAGTTATTATGTTACTGTATAATAACAGTAATTAGGTGAGAGAAGTGTGTGTAAATGAGAAAAAAAAACCCCAACGTATGGAAAACCTACCTCTAAATATTTTGGGTGTTTTCATTTGTGAAGGCACTAGAATTGCTGACACCACCTGTTCCTGATAATGAGAATGCTCGAGTAAAAGCATATGTGAGACGCGGAACAGCGTTTTGTCAGCTGGAATTATATACTGAAGGTGAGACCTTAATTTTGTGACAACATGCACATGGATTTATAGTGACGTATGAGTAATTTTGTTTAGCTCAATGAAACTGCTCATACCTTCATTTTTTCAGGAGGGACATTAAAGGAGGCCTTATACAACCTATGTCTGTCTTTGTTACCAGCCTTTATACTACTTTTTTTTTTTTTAATTTATTGGCTGATTGCAATTTCAGTTGAAAATCTTTACAAATTTTACTGTACTCATGGTTTGCTTTCCCCCCCACAAGCTCTAGTATTCACAGTTTGTCTTTTTTTTCTCATTTTCATGGACTTTGATTCTGTCATTCAATTTTTCTCCCTTCTGTAGAACACTTTTAAACGCTTCCTTCATGCATGTGTGCATATATATATGTGTGTATTTAAATGAATGAAGAGGCTCTGTTTTCATGTTTCAATACCTGAAAATGTTTATGTAGTAAAGCATTTCCACTAAAATGTTTTGTAAAATAATATAAACAAAATATACATGTATTTACTGACAAAAGTTAAACCTAATGTCATTCTGATTCCATCTTGCTCAATAGCAAAACTCAAGATCAATACTTTATGCACGTGACTAGGGAGCAGTTATTTCCAGTTAGTTGCTAAAGAGGATGCTTTTGCATTATTGATTGACATTCTTATTGATGTATCCACTTTAGGTCTCCAGGATTATGAAGCAGCTCTCAAGATTGATCCTAAAAATGAAACTATAGAAAAAGATGCTGTGAAGATTCGACACCTAATTCAAGGAACAACACAAGATTCTTAATAAAAAAAACCCTAAGCAAACAAAACTTTTTGGAGGGATGCCTTTTGAGGGCATCAGAAGGAATCTGAATTTTCTTCAGTATGTTGTTAACATTTTCCTGTTTCACTGAAAGCACCTATGGAATTGGTAAAAGATGGGATATATGAATTATTATTTTTTTAAAGTATAGTATTATAACAAATATGCTTAGATAGATTTTTATATCATGTTGCTACTTGTGGTCATGTTTTTGCTCTTTGAGAAATATTGGTGGGATGAATATTAAAACATGCTTTTGGTACTTGATTTAAAGTTACTCATAACTAAATGAAATATTTGTCTGGAAATACCTACTGAATCTAGACAATGGGTTTTCAAACAACTTCAGTAGCTCCATATAGTCAATACCTATTAACTTCTTATCTTTCTGTTCTCCACCAAAGCTGAAACAGTTATGTGTTTTATGGTTATGGTTATATGCTTTCCTCTTTTCTTATTCTTCATAGTATTTGGTGCACCTGAAACTAAGACAGTGAATTTAGATACTCTAGTTTGTGCATCCAATTTGGAAAACCTCCACCCAGAAGCACAGAGGTAGATTTTATGTACTGCAGAACTTTCTTTTCAACATTAAGTAATGTACATTGGATATTTTCAGACTATTTGGGAACATCGGTTTGGGCTGACCAAACAAGGTAATTGGAAAAATTATAAACCTGTAGTGTTGTGGTGTAGTGGTAAATTAACCCTGTGATAAATTGTCCTGTCAATGAATGTGACTGACTTCTTCCATCCTACTACAATTAGTAATCTTACAGTGTAGCTGTAAAGCATATTCTAATCAAAAACATTGTTATTTATATGAGAATATGTATTTTTCTTGAGTAGTATTTTAATTTGTACCCTGTTGACATTGAGCAGTATCTTAGGAATACTGGTGTGATTAAAGATTCTCAAAAAAGGGACCATCCTGGTGAGGTTACAAGTGTTGTAAAATGACATGAAGTGTGACACTGTGCTTTGAAGCTCTGCACCTGTTATTTTGGATAGTGGAAGAATGTAATATAGAATTGTATTGTTTTTTTATATATATATATGTTAGCATTTGTATTACTGTGACAACCTGAAACACTGGATTTGAAGTGGTTCTGTTTTGTTAGGCTTTCTATCCAAATTGTGACCGTTTCAACTACACGCCTTTCAGTAGCACTTCTAGCAGACTTCTGAATTTTCCACATCAGTCCATTTCCTGAATACCATTTATGACTGATTTCTGTCTTTAGAAGAAAATATTTATTATGCAGATGTATGTTATTCTGTGTAAATTTTGTACTCTGGGAAGAGGGAGAAGGTGACAGGTGTTGCTTCCAGTTGCTTTACTTAGAACCTTGAGCAGGGTGGTGATGTGAGTTAGAGATGTCTGGGGTAGCTGCTGTTCCTTCTTTCCTACAGATACCTACTCTGCTGCAATGGAAGGGGGTGAGGATACTTTACACAGAGCAGTTGGAAGGAGGACAGTACAGGAGCTGTAGTGCCTCAGTGACTGTAGTGGTATCCTTGCCAAAATATGGCTATTTTCTTTCATATAATTAGTGAGGGGAAGTTGGGGCTAAGGTGGAGAGACACTAGCAATGGGAAAAAGAAAATGCAAAGAAGTAGATGCTGTTTTGGTTCCAGAGCCTATTAGAACAATCTGTATATATTTGTATAGGCTATTTGTATTGTAGTGATTTGTTACAGCTACTCAAGGCTATTTTTGATGTAGACAGGCACCTTTTTCTACTGCTATGACATAGAAACAGTGCCCTCTTTAAAGGTTAGGTAAGAAAATGTACTTGGTGGCATGAACAGTATCTGCCTGTTTCATCTGATTATATTGCGAGGAAATGGATGTTAAATGTCTGACTTCAATACCTGAACTGACGAGATGTACACCGTATCAAGGTCATATGCATTACGTTGGTATTAGTGTCCTGAGATGTAGGAATGTGGAGACTGACTTTAAGTTTTAAAACCAGAAAACACTTTAATTGAAACAAATAAACCTTCAGGCCAATGTTATTGTGTGTGTATATATATATATTCAGGCAAATGTCTTGCATTTAACTCTCTCTATAAAATTAGACTTCCACACTTATGATACCAGTTTCAAAAGTTTTATTTTTATGTGGTTGAGAGAAGTGTATCATCAAATGGGTCACATCCTTTTTGACAGATCTTATTCAACCCAGCAAAAGCAAAATCAGATATTGACAGTTATTCCCAGAATGACTGAAATAAGTCAGATTTGATTTCTTAAAGCTAAGTGTCTAGTCTAAGTTTATGAGAAAAAGATGGAGATGCATTTTTACAGAGTATGCTGTAAATTGGGGTAGTCATATACCCTACTTCTGTCAATGGTAGTGTTTAAAGAACTATCTTGAAATGACCCACAAGTGAGTAAGTGATTTGAAAAGGTTTGATCCACTGGATGATAAGTGCAGGGTACCATCTGTGAGACAGGTGGTATAGCACCGTATTCACTTGACGTTGTTTTAAACAGTAAAACCTGGGGCTTTGTCAAAGAACCATTGATCATGAGTGTTTTGGGGTCCAGCATACAGGAAAACACCGGATTGCCAGGATTTGCGCAGAGAGGCAGGTGAGGAGACTGGTTTTGCTCAGTGTTCGGATTTGATGGCAGTTTCTCGGCCGAAGTCATCTTCTT